GCGCTGAGCTGGAGGATTCGAATGGCTGTCCGTCAAGACACGGGACGATCCTTGTCCCAAATTAAGGCCATTAGTGGTGCTGACTGCAGCCCAATAAACATCAGACGGCATCTGCAAAGGAAGGGCTTCAAAAACAAGAAACGTCTTCAAAGGCCACGTCTTCTTCAATGCCACAAAATTGCCCGTTTGGACTTTGCAAGGGAACACCAAACATGGGACATTCAAAAGTGGAAGAAAGTTTTATTCTCTGACGGGAAAAAAATTTATCTTGATGGTCCTGATGGCTTCCAACATTACTGGCATGACAAGGAGATGCCAACTGAGATGTTTTCTACGCGGCACAGTGGAGGGGGCACCATCATTGATTGATTGAATTGAATTTATTTTTATTTTTTTAATTTCTTTATTTATTTTAAAATTGAATTTCCCTTCTGGGATGAATAAAGTATTTTTCATTTCATTTCATTTCATGATCTGGGGTGCTTTTTCCTTCAATGGAACAATGGAACTCCAGGTTGTGCAGAGGCGTCAAACAGCAGTTGGCTATGTGGATGCCCTTCGCGAAGCCATCTTCACCACTTGGAGCAACATTCCCACTAGCCTTTTGGAAACACTTGCATCAAGCATGTCAGTTTTTGACACTTTAATTTCTGTTTCAGGAGGTTTTTGTGTTTTCTTGAGCTGTGGTCTTAAACTTTTGATCAGCTGATGAACAGCCTATTTGAGTTAAATTGTACTTACTATTGTTCTCAATAAATTGCCTGTTCACAACTTTTGGTCTCTTGTTCCCATTTCTTCTTCTTTTTTCATTTTGAACCTTCCTAAGATCCAACAGTGCAAAATGCAAATTCATGCAATTTTTTTAACTGGTCTTAAGATTTTGATGAGGAGTGCAGTTTTCCCACTCAGAACTGTCTTGGCGGCATCCCACAGCATCACTGGGTTCACATCATCATTGTCCTCGACGTACGCTTCTTTTTTTTTTTTTTTTTTTTAAGTTATTTTTTTTGGACCCTGGATTATTTAGCATACTAGTATTTAATCTCCATGTTGTTGTTTTATATCCACTATCTAAGTGTAATTTTAAGTGGATGGGGGAGTGATCGGATATGTCCCTCTGACTTATTTCACATTCTTTTAACCTGTGTCAATTATACATGAATAAATAATCAATCCTTGTGTAGGCGTTATGTTGATTTGAGCAAAATGTATAACCTGGTTGTGAAAGTCTCTCCAGACATCTATCAAGCCAAAATCCTGGACTCTTCTTTTAAACCATCTTTCAGTGGTGGTGGTTTTCCTTTTTTGACTAGTCATGTCCAGCTTTGGGTTTAAAATCATGTTAAAGTCGCCTGCGCAAATCAAAACTCCAGCACTTTGGAATGCAATTAATCCAAAAAATTTTTTAAAGGACACCCTATTGCTACCTGGAGGTGCATAAACATTGAGCAAAGTCACCTCTTTATCATCTAATTTACCCTTCACCATGATGAACCTGCACTCTTTATCTTTGGTTTCTGACAAAAACTCAAAGTGGACAGAGCTTGGCACCCCTTTAGCATCCTGTTTAAACAATGAATATTAAGTGTGTCTAAAGCCCATTTTCTTTAGCTTTTCGTGCTCTTGGTTTGTTAAGTGAGTCTCTTGCCAAAATATAATTTGTGCCTTCTCTCTCTTTACCTGAGATATCATTTTACTTCTCTTGACAGGACTACTCAAGCCATTTGCATTAAGAGTGATAACCTTAAAGTCCTTGTTATGCATGTGTAGACCAGAGTTCTCTTAGACATACTCACAATCCAAAACAATAAAAACATTCCTATAAACGATGAACACAGAACGGCTCCAATAGTGAGAAAAAACAGTCAACAACTGGGCTTCCATTAAAGAGGCTGTCCGTTGACCTCTTGTATAGGGGGGTGTTACGAGACCACAGGGTGGCAGGGCCCCCTCAGGTTGTTAGTGTGGGTGACTGTCATTCAGACTCTGTAGACTGACTACCTTGTTCTTAAATAAAAATAGGCCAGTTTAAATAAGTAAATGTCCTCTATACGCTAGCAGTGATCAAACAATGTTCATAATTTGGATTAAAGGTGAAAGTAAAATAAGGAATGATTCTGGTACCTTTGTCATATACAGCTTACCATCACTACCCTGTTTCAGGCAAACAGACAAGGAAAAACAATGGGATAACAGTCCTCGTTGTCCGTTTCGGCCAGTCGGTTAAATCCACGGAGCTTGTCTCGTATCCTCTGCTGATATTCACCTCCGGCTCCGTGCTGCTTGCTCCTCACCTTCACCCAGCAGGGGCTCGGTCGCAGTGCTTCTCTCCGTCCGTCCTGACGTCTCGGTGGTATCGAGAGAATAGAAAAAAAAAAAGCTGCTGTACCGTGCTGCCACTCAGCGCGGCGCCGGAAGTAAAGTCCGGCCCCTTGCTCGTAGATACTGGGCAGCTTGGTCTGTGCTCTGATATGTGACGGTCCCTGATTCCAAGAAAACATGCATTTTAGTCATCGGTGTGTGGAATCTGATTCCCTCTTCTTTAAGAACTTTTTTGATCGATATGCATTCCCTCCTTTTTTCCCATCACATCTGTTGCGTGGTCGTGGTCAAAGAACACCCTTTTCCCGTCCAGGGTGATCCTCTTCCTCCATGCCACGCTGATGGTCTGCTCCTCGGTGGTGTATTTCAGGAACCTCACAACCGTCGATCTTGGAGAGCCGTCTCAGCGGGTTTAGGTCTGGCTGCTCTGTGTGCGCGTTCAATACCAAGTTCGTTCAGGCCAGTGCTCTCACCCAGTTCAGTTTTTATGAAGTTCTCCACAAAGCGAAGCGATCTATGGTATCAGCTCCCTCCTTGATACCATAGATCCAAATACTGTTGCGACGTGAGTGTCCCTGTAGCTTAGTAATTTTTGACTTCAGTTCCAGCTGGGTTTTCTGCATCTCGATTAACATCTCCTGCACCTCCGCACCAAATGTTTCCACCTCACCGATGCGCTGCTCGGCGTTGCTAGTTTCTTTAAAGTTTCCTCCAACTTCCGGTTTATATCTGTTAACTGTTTGGAAATACTATTTTGTAGTTCGGACATGGCTTTAACCATGGTTTCGTTTATTGTGTCGCGGATGGAGGCTAATGAAAAAAAATACTTTATTCATCCCAGAAGGGAAATTCAATAATGTGACCGCATCTGCTAGCATAGCCTCGTCGCTACAGCCTGCATCTTCTGTGTCGACGTCTCTTTTTTTTAACTTCTTAATGCCATACTACGACCCGTTTCTTCTCCCTCTGACATTGTTATTTACCGAAAACCACGTTGATTGTAAATCTCTTGGATTGAAGGGGATTAATAACAGTTCAGTAAGGAGCTGAAACTTTAGGCCGCTGTCTTAATTGTCGCGCCACCGGAAGTCGGAGTTACAGTGTTTTAATGTACTTCAACACACATCTGTTTTCTGAAACAACTACATACACTAAGCTGCCACTATATCAATACACCAACCTAAAATAAATGCCGTCTAACAATCCTGCAAGAATGTCACCTTAAGGAAGATTAGAATTTGTCATGTGTGGCTGCAGCTTGTGGCTCTCATTGGAATACACAGAAAACTGCAAAGATCACATTACAATCTTTATGAAGGAAAAAAAAAACTACAGCATGACTGTCATTAAACTACATTAGTTTTTGCTTTGTGTACATAAACTGCCAGTTTGAGTGAGTTACACAGGAACAAGACAATATCAAAAGTTTTAACTCTATACTTGCTACAAATACATTTTAATGTAAAATTAACTCTGAATTTCTACATTTAGCAGCTAGATGTCCTGTAATTGTCACTAAATACTTCAGTACTGAAATGAATATGGACTGGAAGGTGGTTCAGTGGTTAGCACTGTTGCCTCACAGCTAGAAGACCCCTGGTTCACGCCCCGGTTAGGGTGCTTGGGATCTTTCTGCGTGGAGTTTGCATGTTCTCCCCATGCAGCGTGGGTTTTCTCCGGGTTCTCTGACTTCTTCCCACACAGTCCAAAAACATGTTGAGGTTAATTGGTGATTCTAAATTATCCATAGGTGAGTATGTGAGTGTGCTTGGTTGTCTGTCTCTAAGTGTCGCCTTGTGATAGACTGGTGACCTGTCCAGGGTGTCCCCTGTCTTCGCCCTAAGTCAGCTGGGATAGGCTCCAGCCCCCCTGTGACCCTAGTGAAGAGTAAGTGGTGTATAGGTAATGGATGGATGGATGGATGGATGGGAGGAAATGAATATCAACATGTTGCATTATGGACATGAAGGGGCACCACAGGGCGTCTCCAAGGCTGTAGTGATATGTAAAGTTTCCTTCTGTCTGTCATTAGCAGTAATGTCGGGTTTGCAGTGTAGGTGGCTGTAGTGATTCCATTTTGTGCTACTTTTATGGGTCCAAATTGCATTAAAATGAACTGATTATACCACTAGAAATTAAGAGTTACAGATTAATTCCAGTACAAGAAAAGGATCATTATTTAGAATTGCAAACCACATTTTTCTTTCATACTTTGGCCCAAACAATTGGGTTAAGTGTGCAGAAGCTTTGGCATTAATGTAACTTGTCAGATTATTTTAGCGCAGTGGTCAATTGAAACAGTGGGAAGCTACAGTTGGATTAGTGGTTTCATTTGTGAGGAAACTGTTGGTGCAGCAGGGGGAGCTGCTGTGCCAACAATCAAACTGTCTCGTACAAATACCATCTGTCGGTGTCTCCTCCAACAATAAATACACAACTTAACAGAGTGCAAAGTGTTTTAGAGGCTCCACCTTCATTTTCAGAAATGTGTGTGCTTTCTGTTGATGAGGAGGCAGAGGGAGGACAGCGACGCTCCCAGTTTGGAGGCTTCGCTGCAGGCTGTCGGCAGGAGGGTGTAGTCCTGCAGTTTCTGGAAGGCCTGTAGAGAGGACAGAAAAACAGCTCACTCATCACCTCTGGCCACACTGGACACACTTGACGGGCTAATAAAGGGAAGGAAAAAGTGCTTCAGTGTTTGGAAATCAGCACAACAACCACTCCTTTGATGACTCATGGGTGTCAGTTCTGTTTCCACAGAAGCATTTGTACTGGACAATCAGGATTTTTCTCTCAAAACAGAAAAGTCAGGGAATTTCTTATCACAAGCCTGATTTTCTAATTAAGCTAATGATTATTCCTGTTGTTGTCACCATTTTTTCAGTTCTATTATGACCCCGAAAAGTTGCACATAAATTATAATTGCTAGTGCATTTGTATTTTTCCTCACAGTATTAATTTTAAAGAAGATTAAATTTGATTGTTTCTGCATCATTGAAAAAGGAAAGACGAGCAGCACAACCAGGGTTTTTCCTGCCTCACAATGGGCCTCTGTGGCGTGACGATGAATGGCAGCAAGCATGATCCGTTAGCGTACACTACAGGCATTGAGGTGCTGTTACCTTATTTGACTGCAACCTATGCATTTTGTTATTTTCTGTCTATTATACTTCAGTAGGGAACCTCTAATTAACTAAAATTGGTGAAAAAATGTTGAAAACCTCATTGGGGAACCCAAAAAGTTCTCAATGCAGGAGCATTTCTGATGTATTGTTCAAACTGGAAACACACTAGAAGTGTGACAAAGTACTCGAACCGAACTATATGCATACCAAACTCTGTCCACATACATTTTTGAGTGTGTGGCTGAAAGACACTATTGTCCCACAATAAAATGGAAAATTTTTATTTTGTTATTTTTATGTGGCGGCTGCAGGGTGGNCTTATCTGTGCTGCTGAATAATAGTCTATGAGATTCGGTAAGCCCATCCCTCCACCGTGTTTCAACAGCTGCAGAGTTTTGTAACTCACTCTCAGGGCTTTGCTGTTCCAGATGAACCGAGAGATCACCTTGTCCCATTCTCTAAATTGATTGTCTGAGATATGAATGGGTAAGGATTGAAACAGGTAAAGTAACCTGGGCAAAATATTTGTTTTTATCACCATTATTCTGTTACCCAAGTCCAGGGGCAGAGAGGTCCATCTGTCAAAGTCCTCTCCCATGAGTGTATTAATACGTGTATAATTTTCGGCATACAGCTGAGATATGTCTCTTGTTAATGTCACACCTAAATATTTAATGGACACATAGTCCTGATTAAACTTATACTTATTTTTAAGATCTGGTGATGGAGTAAAGTTGAACACTAAGGCTTATGTCTTATCAATATTGAGAATATAGCCTGATAAGGCTCTATATGTCTGCAACATATCCATTAATCTAGGAACTCCAGAATCCAGGTTTCTACTGATCTCTTTTGACAAAAAAAACCCCGAAAAAAACAAATCAGAAGGTAACAACACAGCATGGAGTGAGCTGTGCTTAGTTTCCTATTGTCAAACTGGCAGGAAGTCCTTTTTTTCATATAAATAATACTAAAAACACAAACATCTCACTCGCACGAGAACTGTCACAAGAGTCTCTAAAAAACTAGGAGACACATACAGTACATAGCGTAGCCTGCATACATACAAATATACATATACGCATGCAGGCATATTTTGTACTCTGTCTCTCTCATTACGATACCTTCTAGATCTAGGTCTTGTCTAATGGCTTGAGCGAGCAGCTCAATAAATAGATTGAAGAGCGACGGGCTGGCCGGGCAACCCTGGCGACAGCCGTGTCGTAGGTGTTCTGGAGAGACCTTCATTTACTTTGATTCTGGCCGTAGGGGATGTATATTATGTTCTGATGCTATTAATAAACTTCTCATGGAAACCAAAATTTTCCATAACTTTATAGAGGAACTGCCACCCCACTGAGTCGAAGACTTTTTCTGCATCCATACTTAGTAAAATTGCTCCAAGTTTTTCCTTTTTTATATATTCAATTACACTACTCACAATAAGTTAGGGATATTGTGAGAGACTCAGTGGATTTCATA